TTATTATTGCAAAGTAACCTTTGTGTATTTTTTTTCCAGATGTGCCGCTTGTATCCGGAAAACCGCAAGGTGGAACTAAATGCGGCAACGCTTCTGTTGATGTCCTGCACCACGATTCAGGCATCTGAGGCCCGGCAAGTGCTTGAACAACAGCATGATGTGGATTTGCTTCCCAGGGACATTTACAATATTAAGTCAAGAATAAATAAATCATCTTCTGATGCAACTGAAACTCAATCTATACTTCATTCTATATCACAAGCTGGTGGAAGTGTGTCCTATGGACTAACAGAAAGTGGGGAATTTAAGTATTTATCATACATGACTGATGATATGATAAGAATTATTGCCCAATATCCAGAGGTTTTATTAATGGATTTCACATATAAAACCAATAAATAATTATATCCACTTTTGACTGTAATGGTTATTGATGGAGAGGGCAGGGGCATTCCTGTTCTTCGTGGTTTTGTAAAAAATGAAGATAAGGAATCTATTTCTCTTTGTTTGCAGCTTCTTCTGAAGAATTCTGATGCCAGTCTTTTCAAGTGCTTTGTGGTTGACAAAGACATGGCTGAAATCTCTGCTATAAATGATCTCTTTCCAAATGTACCTGTTAATCTATGTCATTTTCACATTAACCAGGCTGTGCACAGGTTTCTTTCGAAACATGTAGGTCCTGAGCATGTTAAGCCAATTCTTGAAGGATTTATGTCTCAAGTTTATACTGAGTCGTGTGATGAATTTTTAAAGTTAATGCAAGACATGAAAGATACTCTTCCTGATGTAGCTTTGGAGTATTTTGAGTCAAACTGGTGGAGTAAGGCCCATTTATGGGCAGCATCATCCAATGCTGATGTTTTAAGACTCCATGCGACAACAACAAATCACTTGGAGTCTTATCATGCCAAAATAAAAAAGAGTTTGACTCATTATCTTTCTTTTTCATCTGCTCTTCGTAACCTTATGTCTTTTGACAACTGCAAAATTACAGTATGTGATCGTTTAAGATTGCTTG